GCTAAACAAGGCAATCATAAAGAATATTAAAAAGTATTTTTAATTATTTTGAATTAGATAATTCAAAATTTGTGAGACATGACTAAAGCAGGACATAAAAGGAATGCATGGCTTTAGCCATTTTTGCTAGGAAACAAAAATGTTAAGCATAAAGGAGGCAAACATTGAAATGAGGAACTAAAAAGGAACAATAGAGCAAACAATACTAGCAGCCAAGAAATGATGCAAATAACAGCATAAATCTGTGAAACTGGGAACAACATCAGAATGATTAAAAAAATTAACAAAGTAAAAAACTAGTTTCTTTAAAAAGATTTAACCAACCAGCAGAAAAACTTCTGACAATTTTAATAGGAAAATAAGAAGAAAATGCATAATGCTTATCTACAAAGGATGAACTGAAAAAGATGAAATAGCTGTAAACACAACAGATATAAAAATAAAAACATTATAATCTACTATATACTAAAGAATTTAAAAATTCGATTAAATTGGTAACCCCCCCAAAACTACCAAACTGTACATAAAGAAATTGAAAACTTAAAATCAACCAAAATGTTTTCAATAAATTGAAATGTCAACGCTGTTTTTAAAAAACCCTTCAAATGTATCTTTTTCAAGAGACTTGTACCAAATTCTTGAGGGTAATCTAATTCCTCTCTTATATAAGCTAATCCAAAAAACTGAAAAAGAGTGAACGTTATCCAGGTTAATTTTATGAAGCTAGAAATAATGTAAATTATAAAAACCATATGAGAAACATAAGAAAATATAAGTCTACATCATTTACGAACATAGGTATAAAAATTGTAAATAAATCCAACAGAATATTGAAAACAGTCCAGAATAATCAAGTAGGTTTTCTCTCATTTATGCAGCGAAGTTTTATCAAAAGAAAATCTAGCAACAAAATACAACCAGATAAACATGAGGATAACCATAATTAACTGAAATGTAATGACAGACCCACTGCAGTTAACTGTACTATTCTCCTTGCTTTGGCAGAGATTGTAAAGCTTAAACACCAAAAGCCTACTGTAAGCATTTTACTTAACAGAGAAACCTGAGATGTGTTCATATTAAAAGATACTCAACTCAAGAACACTATCAATTCTACTTTTAAAGATAGTGTTGGCTATCCTGGACAACATTAGTCAAGAAAAAGATAAAAAAAAAGGGAAGAAGAAAAGATAGCTAAGAAATAAAGGGGAAAGAGATTAACATGGCCTTATTCGCAGATAAAACACCTAGTAAAACCAGTGATATCGATAGTGAACTTACTGAAACAAGTTTATCAAACAGAAGTTCTATTCTAAAAACTTCTATTAGGATAGGATTTCTCTATCCTAGTAATGGGCTTCTCTTGTGGCTCAGATGGGAAAGAATTCGCCCACAATATCCTAATAATGGGCTTCCCAGGTGGCACTAGTGGTAAAGAACCCCACTTGCCAGTGCTGGAGACAAAAGAGACGTGGGTTTGATCCCTGGGTCAGGAAGACCCCCTAGGAGAAGGAAATGCAAACCCACTTTAGTGTTCTTGCCTGGAGAATCCTGTGGACAGAGGAGCCTGGCAGGCTTCAGACAGTAGGGTTGCAAAGAGTCAATGACAATGCTAAGAAACTTAGCATGTATGCACTATCCTAATAACAACCAACTGGAAAATATAATTTAAAAACCAATATCAAAAAATACTTTAGGGAATCTTGAAGTAAACTTAAGCAAGACTATATATGATCTCTGTGGAGGAAAAAATAATAAACTCTAACAAAGGACAAATAAAGTGACCTGAATAACAGAGACTTAATATTATGAAAATCAATTCTTCAAAAATTAAACTATAAATTCAATGTTATTATATATTGAAATTTCAGTAGGATTTAAAAAGTTGTACTTGATATTCTAAAATGTTTATAAGGAAATAAATGTCTACCATATAGTTAACCTAATCTTGAAAAGAAAAAGCAAAAAAGATGAATCTCCCCTGTCAGGCATGAATAAATATTTATATTGCCAAAATAATAAAAAAAAGTGGGCCAACTGGAACAGAACAGAAATCCCAGAGGCATCCCTGTATACAGGTGGAATCTTATACAATACAAGTGATGTCAGATTCATAGGGAATGATAAGTTTTTAGCTCATGAGAACCAATTACATAGAGAAAAAAAAACTGCATTAGAGGTAGAGCTCTAACTGAATTAAATATTTATATGTCCAGAAAAAATTATAAAGGTAAAGGGAAAAAACGGAGAAGCACATTTTTGTGACTTAAGAGATAAGAAATGATTTCTGAGACCAAATTTCTGAAGAAGAACCATAAGGAAAAAATTAATTTGATTAATCAGCTGAAGATTTCTAGTCAAAACAGAACACTGTAATAAAGTTAATAGATGACAAATTGAGCTATTTGCAAGAATGAGTTCCCACTTTTCACTTGACACAGCTGGAAAAGGTCAAATATTGGCCTAATTTGGGGGGCATGGAAATGGACATATGCATTCTGAAGGGAAAACTGGCATCATTTAATTCTATCAAATGAACCCCTATTTTACGACCCAGCTCTGGGTATGTGTTCTTCGGAAAATGATATGCAGGTTCGAACAGAAGGATTTGTACATTTGAAGTATTGTTTGCTTCAGCCAAGAGTTGAAGCAATCAGGATGTCTATCACTGGAGCTGTGGATAGGTAAAATACAATGGAATACACATTAGCAATACCATAAATCAGTGAAAAGTAACACAGAAGATGTACACACAGCAGTTTCTCCCTAAAAGTATGCAGTGCTGCATTTTTTAAAAAAAATGGTTAGAAAAAAATTATCTAATATAATACATCTTATATACTAAAAATGCTTACATGCATAACAAAATAAAGAAGCTTATTTTACAAAAATATGCACAAAAAGATACACATTGTCATTATAATGATGGCCTTTGAGGGGCTTCCCTGGGCTCAGACGGTAAAGAATCTGCCTGCAATGCGGGAAACCCAGGTTTGATCCTTGGGTCAGGAAGATCCCCTGGAAAAGGGCATGGCAACCCACTACAGTATTCTTTGCTGAAGAATTCCACAGACAGAGGATCTGGGTGGGTTACAGTCCATGGGGTCACAAAGAGTCGGTCACAACTGAGTAACTCACACTTTAGGGGAAGGAGAATGAAGTGGGAACTGGGAATAAAATGTAATAAATAGTATAGATAAAACAAGAGAGGAGGACTGCATGCACAGATGTTTCAAGTTCTACGATGACAGGGGTTCTGGTCTCTGCTTAACAAATATTTGCCAAATATATGAATATGACGTGAATTGAGGAATATGATTCTTGTATCTTTCTATATCCAAGTTCCAATTACTTGGTCGAATCATAGGAAATTGTAATTTTTTGTAGGTCACAATTGTCAGCAATTTCATACAATTCAATTTAACAGAAAAGGGCAACTGGAGAATAATTAAAGGTTCTTAGGGAATATAAATAGCCACTGTGAAGACTTGTAGGAGATAACACAGAAGACAAACCAAATTAGATTCCAGTTTTTCATGATTAATTAAAAATAATATACACTGATATAATATACTGATTATTGTCCTTAAATGTAACTACTCTTAAGACCTAAGTCATCAACACCATTTCCTTACAATATCAGTTATCTATTTTATTAAGCAATGTAACCCTTGCATCTTTTATCATGCTTATCTGTTTTTTCATTGACAATATTTAAACATATCTTTTAAAAATCTTTCACTGTTGGAAGATTTTCCAAAACTTAAAGTGTAGTTTATGTAAGATAACTTCTAAAAAGTATCAATTACAGCCACTTTTAAATCTCTTGAAATTATAAGAGGCACTTGTGCCTTCTCTTTTTATTAAACCATTTTACTCTGATTAGAATACAAAAATCTGTACATATTTAATGTATACAAGATGATGAGTTTAGAGATATGTATACACCCATGAACCCATCACCGCAATCAAGTTATAAACATATCTATCCCCTCCAAAAGTTTTCCTCCATCCTACCTATTTATTTGTTTAGTGATAAGAACACTTAAAATCTATCCTCTTAGCAAATCTCAGTATTATTAACTATAGGCACTATACTGTAAGTATATAGATCTCTAGGACTCATTTAGCATAACTGAAATTTTATATCCTTAGACTAATACCTCTCCAGCCCCTGGTAACCACCATTCTATTCTTTGCTCCTGTGAGTTTGACTAGTTTAGATTCCTTCTGTAAGTGGGATTGTGTGGTATTTGTTCTTTGAAGGCATTGCATTTGATTTTATAGAAGTAATTGTTCAGAAAACAGATAAGAGGAAGTGGGAGGAAACTGAAAGAAAGCATTATATATTTCCTCTTACCTTAGATCTGAACAATTCTTTCTGTAAAACCAGAAACTCCTTAAAATTTATCAAATATACACTTACCAGACTGAGCTAACCTGAATTACCTCTTATAACTAAACTTTTTGGAGGTTATTATTAAGTTCTTCCCTGAAAACTTTCTCATCATGCTTTATATCAGGGCTCACTATGTCAGGCATCCTTGAGAGAGTTGTTTTTTACTCAACAAATATTCCATGTTGAATGCCAAAATGAAATAGGCACTATGCTTCCTAAAAATAAAGCAAAAAGCATAAGGGCAAAACTATATTTTCCTTTGTTGCAGTGACTACATTTTTCTTAAGTAGAAAGTCAAGTCAAGAAAAACAGACCATAGCTGAAAACTAGCTTTATAATGGGTCAAAGAACTGACTAAAATGATAAATTGAGGGGAAAAAAAAAAAAAAGATGTAGCCTTTGTGATCCCGAGTGAAGCTGTTTCTAGGTGATTTTTGAACTACACTTATTAAATGAAAATCTCTGCTTGCAGCAATAAAACGATACAATCTTTGTTCCATGGGAGTTGATAATCATAAAGGTCAAAAAAAGGCAGCCCAACTCACTTTACTTATCTTCAGTATACTTTGTGGGAAAATAACTGCTTCGATGGAAATTTTACCTTGACAGTGAAGCGTTTTTTCTTTGGTGGATTCCAAACTGTGCCGGTCGAATGAATGAATGCACGCAGAGGAGTTAGGGATGTCACCAGTACATATGCTTTAAGAATTACAGATAAATCTTTGGCTCTCAAGAGTGTTTCTTGTGGAGCAAGGGCTGTGGTTTGATTCCTAAAAATTACAAAACATAATTAAAGCTCCATAAGTTGGAGTGAGTATGTAATTTGTAAATTACCTCAGCACTTTGTACATCCTATCTTTCGCTCCTTGGATCCCAGCCTTCAGTATATGGGCTTCCCTAAACAAAAGCTAAAATAATACCAAAAATAAGGCTTAAAGATCTAAAAAAAAATGTTACATTAGTCACATCTGGTACCATCCCAACAAAAGAGGTACAAATAAAAGTTTAGGAAACCCCTGAAATCTTCCTGTTCTGCCCTTGTCCACCTTTACTCTATCTTTTCCTCTACAAGATATTGTTTCTGAGTAGTGGACAGGTCATGAAAAATATGCCAGAATACTTTCCCCACTAATTTTATTCTACTTATAATCCACAGGTGGCGCTAGTGGTAAAGAACCTGCCTGCTAATGAGGAGACATGAGAGACGCAGGTTGGATCCCTGGGTTGGGAAGATCCCCTGGAGAAGGGCATGGCAACCCACTCCAGTATTCTTGCCTGGAGAATCCCCATGGGCAGGGGAGCCTGGCGGGCTACAGTCCATGAGGTTGGAAAGAGCTGGGCACGACTGAAGCATCTGAGCATGCATGCATGCAATAATCTACACCACTTGATCATTAAGGGCTAATTTAAGGGATAAAGTTTCAGGAAACACCTCAGTCTAAAAAAGGAAAAAAAAAACACTAGTTGAATATTTTGTGATGAAGCAAATAGACTTTGATCACGTGTGTATGTGTGTTAGTCTCTCAGTTGTGTCCTACTCTTTGAGATTCAACTCTATGGACTATAGCCTGCCAGGCTCTTCTGTCCATGCAATTCTCCAGGCAAGAATACTGGAGTGAGTTGCCGTTGCCTTCTCCAGGGGATCTATCTGACCTGGGGATCGAACCTGCGACTTCTGCATTACAGGCAGATTCTTTACCATCTGAGTCACCATGGAAGCCCACATCCATCATAAATGGTACCAAAATGTATGAGTGTGTGTGAATCCATCGGTCGTGTCCGACTCTTTGCGACCCTGTGGACTGTAGCCCATCAGGCTGCTCTGTCCATGGAATTCTCCAGGTAAGAATACTGAATTTCCTTCAGAATATGGCTAGAATACTAGCCATTTCCTTCTTCAACCAGAATGTATAGCTATTTTCTCTTCTGCACCCTATTTCTGTATTCCAATTATCTAAGTTCAGGCAATGAAAAGAGAGTGCTATTTCATCTTTTGAAGTCTACATAAGCAGAAATGCATATGATTCTTCAAATACTACCTAAAAATTATAAAATGACATGAGGCAAACTCTTTTGTGCCTTGGATAAGATAATTAAAATCTCTTAGTTTTTCACTGTAATTTATCTACATGACAAAATCATTTCCCTGGAAGCAACTTAAGTAACTTGGTACCCAACAGTTGTTTTCTTAGAGCCCTAAAAAAATAACTAGAAAAAAAATCATTCAGCCATACTCATAGACTAAGGCGTGTTATTTGAATATAAAATGGAAGTTAAAATTTTATAGTTTCACACTGTCAAGCTTTTAAATTCAATTTCCATTAATGTAACTTTCTAGATAAGAGTCCTATTTACCCAAATGTTTATTCTATGGCAAGAGAGGTTTGAATTAGTCTAGAAGAAAATAGACTGTGGCATTCTTTATTAAGAAGAGATAGTTGAAAATTTATGTAACAGAACCTAAAACTTCAAACATGTAAAAACCCCTAGATGTGTCTAGTGCTTTTTTTCTTATTGGCTATCTTCTAAAATGCATGCCTGGTGTAACAATTCAAGATGATTAGCTTACAGCTGTTCACGTCTCCAGTCCCCTGGTTTCCACATATGCGACTTCAGTGTTTTTAAAAGGTGACTTGAAGTCCTCAGCTTTAATTGTATACTTTGATCCAGACACACAGAAGGGCTCACCAGAAGTCGCAATTCTGGAAAGATTCAAAAGAGCAAAAGACAGTCATTTTATTGTTTCCTTTTGGAGTGGCTTCCAAAATAGAGTCTGCTGTGTTAACCTCCTGGGTCCAAGGGAAATAGGCAGCAAATTTTCTCTCCATTCTGAATCAAGGTTAGATCCATCAAGCATGAAGGCATGTTTAGAGAGCCCTTTGCTTAGTGGTATGTTCTCTTACCATAGACTAGTAAAACAATTGTAATAACATTTAAATTTTCTTGCTCAGGAGGAGAAGTAGATATAATGTCTCCCTCTCCCTCCCCAGGAAGGTCTATCTTCTGTACAGCTAAGAGAGCACTCTGAGGGAGGTGGGAGGGGGGATCAGGATGGGGAAAAAAAAAGAGAGATGCACTCTGGATTCAGGGAATGGTGGTGTAGGAACTGACTTCCGTTTGCGATGAGAATACTACGTAGACAGCTTGAGTTGACTTCCTGGCAATGCAGTCCTTCACAAGCTAGAGTTCGTCATGCTTCTTGACCTTGATAACCTCAAGAAGAGTGTTTCATTATTTTGTAGAATATTATTTGTGCTTAGTTGCTCAGTCGTGTCCGACTCTTTGAGACTTCATGAACTGTAGCCCACCAGGTTCCTCTCTGTCCATGGGATTTTCCAGACAAGAATACTGGAGTGGGTTGTCATTTCCTTCTCCAAGAATATTATTTACTGAGTTTTTTAAGTGTATAAAAGTAAAAACCAACAATGATGACTTACTTATGAACACATATTGATAGAAGGTAATTCTGTATCCGTATCAGCATATACAGAATTACCTTATACTTCTTAATGGTTTGGGGTGTTCCATTTAATGAATATATTTAATTTAACCATTCCCTTATTGCTGTGTATTTAGATTATTTTTGCAATGTTTTCTTCTGCTATTTCAAAAATACTATCATGAACACTCTTAACATCTAATCTGGTGTACTTTTACAAGTTTATCTAGGGATGAATTCAAATCTGTATGTGTAATTGTTGGGTCAATGGGTAAATGCATTGTAAATTTTATCAACATTACTCAACTGCCTTCTAAAAAGGTTGCCCCAATTTCACTCTCTCCAACAGTATATTAAGAGTTTTTTCCTTACTGCCAGGTCACAGAGCTTTAGTTTCAAATTATACAATTTATCTAGCTCCCCAAACAGAATAAAGCCTTTAAATCATTCCCCCCCCTTGTGCATGTTTCATCAATACTGACACAGTTTAATTTAAAATACTTCATGCTCTTAAGTAAAAGTCAGCAGAAGTCAAGTTGTTCGATATATTCCCATATCTCATTATTTAGCACAGTGTGATCTTTCTCAAAAAATGATAGCCTATTTGTAAGACTTCCTTATTAATGAAGTTCTAATATATCATAATAAAGGAAATATTCAAATTGCTTATTTCTAGAGGTGACAAATGAAGAGCCATTAAGGTAATTTCTTTCCCTGAGCATCACAACTACAAGAGAGTTTAAGCATTAATATAGTCCTTTACCTTTGTAGTAAGAAAATAGGTGTTCTTCCCCCCGCCCCCTCGCAACTAAATAGACATGGGTGGTTCAGTGGTAGAATTCTTGCCTGCTATGCAGAAGGCCAGGGTTCGATTCCAGGCCCATGCACCTACAGGGTCCCCTTGGGCTTCCCAGGTGGTTCAGATGGTAAAGAATCTGCCTGCAATGTCGGAGGCCTGGGTTTGATCCCTAGGTCAGGAAGTTGTCCCCCGGAGAAGGAAATGGCAACCCACTCCAGTATTCTTGCCTGGAGAATTCCATGGACAGAGAAGCCTGGCAGGCTACAGTCCGGGTCACAAAGAGTTGGACAGGACTAAGTGACTAACACTTTCACCTTCCCTTTTACTTTTAATACCAGGAAGCACAGCACCAGTTTGAAGTCCAAGCAGAAGTGACTTCGAAAAACCTAAACATATTAAGTGTTTCACCAAAGTGGGAGTTCAATGGTTTTGAAGAAGCAATCAGCAAATATGTCAAAAGAACACATGATTTCATGTCATCTTAGTTTAAGTCAACAAGCCTAAACATGCAGTTGAAGCAATCCAATGTAGGAACTGCCAAGAATATGTCAAATTTCCAAATCAGCCCCTAAAACTGTGATTGAGTAATAAAATTCAATATTGATTAAAGTAAATTTTACTTTTTGTGATATATATGTGTATATATATATATATATGATATCCTGTTATATCGTTCCAGGTTTGGAGGTTACTGTGAACAATTCTAAAACAAAAAGTCAAACAAAAATCCCCACAACTCTAATTAGACCTCCCCCGACACCTAAAATTATTTCATTTCCCTTGATTACAGCTAAAAATGAAAAATAAGTTCCACCAATATCTTTTAAAACTGTAACAACATTTTATCAAGCTTTAATAAATAAATGTGGAAGCTTTAAGTATCCTAAGGTCTTGTTTAACAGAGTCAGAAATTTGTTGGTAGTCACCGTAACCTATAATGTTACCGTAACCTATAATGTCACCGCAACCTATAATGTTACCACATGTGTGCCCAGTGGCTTCAGTCATGTCTGACTCTTTGTGACTCCCATGGACTGTAGCCCACCAGGCTCCTCTGTCCATGGCATTTTCCAGGCAAGAATACCAGAGTGGGTAGCCATTCTCTTCTCCAGGGGATCTTCCTGACCCAGGGATCAAACTTGGGCTTCCTGCACTGCAGGCAAATTCTTTACCATCTGAGCCACCAGGGAAACCCATAACCTTTTTGGGCATATCTGTCAAGGTCTTCTCAATAGATCAGTTCAATCCATTTATTTAAATATTCCCTTCCCCTTATCCCTTGACCACCAAACACACAGAGGCGCCTAGAAGTCTCCTACAAACAACGTCAATACCAGATTCTGGGTTTGGAAGGAATTTGGGAGATAAGGTGCTATTTAGTCTTCTAAATGGCCTTGTAGTTCATTAACATGTGCTTATTTTCAGAAAGTAATTAAATATGGAGGGCTCAGTATCCGTCTTTCAGGTATTCCTATCCCACTCTTTGAGGTCTCAATGGGTAGCAGATACAGAAGTATCATACGTGCTTTTATCTATTGACTAATCTTGGCTTATCTGAGAAGAGTCCTGAAGCCATAACTTGACTTCTCACTTAGAGTAAGAAGGAACAACTTATTAGAGATGCATGAAGACTGCTCTTTTCATACATTCTAATATCTGGTTGGCTGGGTCCTAAGTACCTGCTGACTGCTGTGCTGTTTTCTGTAAAGAAAGATTAAACTTGGGGTTTCATTTTACTTCTTACCAACCAATGATTAATGGGCTTGTGACACTGTCAAGGAGTCTTCTAGAATACAGGATGTCATTCTCCAGGAATCTTTTGAACTTCCCACATCACAGACTATAAGACTGATAGAAGTATGCAATAAATATCTGTTGTAGCAATGAACTAGTTTGAGGAGGCGATGGTGTTAAGCTAATGCGCAGTTGGAGAACAATGAGCATTTCAGTGTATTAAAAAGATTTTATTTGGTTATTTATTCTTTCACTTCTATGTGGCATGTAATTACATACATCATAGACAAAGACTAAACACTGGAAAACACTTGTACTAGCAAAGATTAGATGCCAAATTTACATTGTGTTTGATTTAATGCTTTACCCCATGGCTAATAATGAATAGGAAAGTAATAGTGAAAGTATAATTATATTTCACAAGTGTTTAAATATTGTCTTGCATTTCACATTAGGAAGCTAAATTTAGCCAGTAATTTCTTACTTTGAAACTTCTAGCGAAGATAAAAGCCCTTAATTAATAATTAACGACTGGTTTTGAGATTAGAAGTGTAGATAAGTATTTCTGAATGTATTCACTGTTCTTCCTGCAGGAGGACGTTTACAAGTCTTATTCCGTAGCCTGCAAGATAGCCTCAGAGCTTTCATGTACAGCAAATTTAAACAGAACAATTGATACATGTACAAGCTAAAGTCATAACCAGGAAATAACTCTATCAGTCAGGGCACTGGGAGAAAACAGATGGATGACAGAGTCAAAGGAATAAGTGAAGAGACTACCAGAGACTAACTAACCAAAAGAGATGGTCAACAAGGACCTCCGGTGGAGCACAGGGAATTCTATTAATACTCACTACTCCATAATAGGGCTTCCCAAGTGCCACTAGTGGTAAAGAAAAAAAAATAAAAAACCTGCTTGCCAATGCAGGAGACAAAAGAAACGCGAGTTCAATCCCTGGATTGGGAAGATCCTCTAGAGAAGGGCATGGCAACCCACCCCAGTATTCTTGCCCGGAGAATCCCATGGACAGAGTAACCTGGTAGGCTATAGTCCATGCCCAAAGAGTCAGACATGACTGAAGCAACTTAGCATGCACACACTCTATAATAACCTGTATGGCAAAAGAACCTGACAAAGAATGAGATGCATGAGTGTGTATAACTAAATCACTTTGCTTTTCACCGGAAACTAACACAACACCGTGAATCAACTATGCATGCGTGTGTGCTCAGTCGCTTGAGTCATATCCTGCTCTTTGCGACCCCGTGGACTGTAGCCCACCAGGCTCCTCTGCCTGTGGAATTCTCCAGGCAAAAATACTGGAGTGGGTTGCCATGTTCTCCTCCAGGGGATCTTTCCAATCCAGGAATCAAACCCTTTTACATCTCCTGCATTGGCAGGCGGGTTCTTTATCACCAGCACCACTTGGGAAGCCTGAATCAAGTATGCTCCAATATAAAATTAAAAAGAGAGACCATCAGAGAAAGAGTTGATAACAAAAGCAAGAGTAGAGTTGCGAGAAAACACCACCAGGCGGTGAAGCTCCCAGGGCTGAACAACAGAAGCTCTTACCACCCCTAAGCCCAGGAGGGAGCCGATTGCAGACCCAGGCAAAAGGCACAGCTGTGGGACAGGACCCAGAGAAGCAAGAGCGAGGGCCACGGGAGAAGTACCCGGGCATTTCCAAGCCAGGGTCCTGCGGGGAAGCAGCCAGGGAATAAACGCTCTC